TGTTAAATTTCACAGGCAGATATTCGGGAACTTACTATTGTAAGTGGAATATCAGCACACGCGTTAAATTAATAAGGCGTGTTGTTTAATTCTTTGGTGGAAGGTAGAAAAAAATATAACTCTTGCAGCGAAGTCGACTTAATTATGTATTTACAATATATGTACAGAGTATCTCCAACGATTGATTACTAATGATTATACAAGTGCTCCTTGTTTTGTGCTGACTTAGTTCAAGTGCTTCTTTTGAAGTCCTTGGTCACATCTTATATCTACAACTTAAAAACTAGGAACAAATGCCAAGGGTGTGGCGAATGTCACCATTGGTGATTAACCCTTTTAGAACAACTTTGTGGAGACGTACAAGGCGGGGCTTTCAAAACTCAAAATATGTGGAAAGAGGGATGTTTACAACCTGTGAAAAAGCTACATCAAAATATTAACAAACGGGACTTTCTAAACGTTAAACTCATAAAATAAACACCCCATAATAAAAATGAAACTATATTAGGGATCATAAAGGATCCTTCTTAAACCGTTACCCCTATAAACTAATTTAAGTAGTTAACTGATTTATCTACCCATCCTCGAAGGGTCTACTCTCAAATAAACACAACACCGCCTTGTAGGTTTGCAAAGTATTCTAAAAATTGTATGCAGGAATTTTATGACCTGCAAAACGAAGAACGGTCTCTGAACATTTAGTATAAATAAAATATTTTTTTAGTTAACATAAACTGACTACATTTATAAATTTTCTTGGCCCCCGTAATGTTTGGTGAAGAAAATATGGCCCGCGGGCTATGATAAGTTGGACAGCACTGATGTAGATAAACACATTTTTAATTTTCCGTATTGACTTTAAACAGTATGTAGAAGACAATTTATCAGTTATGTCCATTGGTTTTCTTCTGTCAAACCCAGATGATGCTATTATTTGGCGAGGCCCTAAAAAGAATGGCATTATTAAACAGTTTTTAAGCGAAGTCGACTGGGGTAAATTAAATTACCTCCTTATAGATACACCTCCAGGTATTTAATGCTTAAAAATAACACTGCAAATAAACTACTTATTTTTTAATTTTTCACTTTATTATTATAGGTGTATTTTTTTTTAACAGGGACATCTGATGAACATTTATCAGTGACAACTTATCTTGCTAAAGCAGGATTAACTGGAGCCATTATAATAACAACTCCTGAAGAAGTTGCTTTGTTGGATGTAAGAAAAGAAATCGATTTTTGTCGGAAAGTTAATGTTAAAATCTTAGGAGTAATTGAAAACATGTCGTTATTTGTATGTCCAAATTGTAAGGTAAGAAATTGATTATTAAAGAAGTTAATAAAATTATTTTTGTAATATTATATTTATTAGACAGAATCAAAAATATTTTCAACAAGTGGTGTTAAACAAATGTGTGAAGATTTAAAAGTTCCTTTTTTGGGAAGTTTGCCTGTGGATCCTCTTCTGGCAAAGTGTTGTGACCAGGGAATAGATTATCTAAGAGAACGTTCAAATAGCCCAATAGTTAAGGCACTTGATAAAATTATTGAAGGTAAGAGTGAAATTTTAAGGCAATATGTTAATTTTATATATTAAATTTTTAGGTATAGAAAAGCAGTGTACAATTTAAATTGTACTATTCTTTTATTATTAAATATTATTGCAAACCACAATTTTTATTATTAAACATGCTGGTTTAGTAGTAAAGAAAATTCTTTTATTGAGTTATCATAAATCCTTATTCATTCATTAGGTCTACAAAACCATTATTACTAACATTGAACAAAACAGTGTTTCTACCAATGTAGTAAAAGTGGTAGTTGAAACATAATTTTGTAATGAAACAGTTTATGTGTGACCATATTCTTAAGAAACTAGTGTATAAACATCAAAAATTTTATTATTACACTATTACAGGTAAGTAAATAAAATTTTACTTAAATAGCTTAAAAATGCCCAACCACTGCCGTAGTAGTAGTATTATATATATGGTAACTTGCATGTATTTTGGCGGTAATCTCAGTTCTATTCTGTTTTACTTTATAAGAAGGAAAGAGACAGATATCGGTCGCGTCTTTCTATAGAGTGATCAATTTCATCATCGACGTTTATTTACTACAAGTCTATGAATTTCACGAGGGTATTTCTCAAACTAATTCGGTGTCTATGATTTTAACCATTTAGATAACTATAAGGAGAGCATAGAAGACTGATTATTCGAGCATTTCCGACAATGTTCGCATTGACTGCTCATTTGCTCGTTTCAGACGTTAGTTAACTAATGGGAAATAGTTACAGTATGTATAAAATGTGTAGTGCTCAATAAATTATTATAGAATTTTGTGATTTTTAAAATATTAACTACATATTTCCAAAGCAAGTCTTTTTAATTAGTATGTGGAATTGTCAGTGGCTTGCTCTAGCAGAATTGTACTTGCTGAACCTTACAAACAACGTGAATGTACACTGTTTATGTAGCAGGGTTTTTATATGGTAAGTAATATAAAAATACCTATTCATGTCATTTTATGTCAATCAATTTAAACCCGTTTTTCGTTTTGAAAAGTCCACATAGTGGAAGTTTAGGAAATAATTTTTTGCTAGAAATAGTATTTTGTTGGATTTAATGAAAGTTTAAGAAGGAACTGGTTTTTGTGAATTACTTGATTGTTGTTCAAAATGAGTGACCAAAATTCATTAAAACGGCCTGAAATTAATGACTTCTGTATTATAAAGCCAATAAGTAGAGGTGCATTTGGAAAAGTTTTTCTTGGTTATAAAAAGAATAACATGAATGTAATGTATGCTATAAAAGTAATGAAGAAAACTGAAATGATTAATAAAAACATGGTTTCTCAAGTGGTTAATGAACGTAATGCACTGGCACTTACTAATTGTCCTTTTTGTGTACATTTGTATTATTCGTTACAAACTGCAACTTCAGTATATTTGGTCATGGAGTATATGGTTGGCGGTGATTTAAAGTCTTTATTAAGTGTGTACGCATATTTTGATGAGGGAATGGCAACATTTTACATTGCCGAAATTTGCTTAGCATTAGAATACTTGCATAAACATGGAATTATTCATAGAGATATTAAGCCAGATAACATGTTATTATCGAAAGAAGGACATGTTAAATTAACTGATTTTGGACTTTCAAATGTACAAATACATCGAGATTTAGAAATGAAAGACTTTGAAAAATGGACTCCAAATTTGTGTGCTAGGACACCAGGACAGTTGCTCAGTTTGACTTCTCATTTAAGTTTTGGTTCAGGGACAACATATTTAACAATTTCTAGTGCTGAAAGTGACTATATTTCTGGTGGTGACAGTAATAGCACTGAAAAAATCAAAAATGCATCTTTTATATTACAAGAAGATTGTGGCAAAATTACAAAATGTAACGGTACAATTGATTTTAGTTCATTGCAAGAATCTACCAACATGTCTGGAATTGCTCCATTTCATTCTGCAGAAGATATTAATTTAACTGAAGTGAGTTCTTATCATACTTGTTCACATTGTGGAAGTTCTCAAGTGAATGCATCTCGTGATTGTGACTCCAATTGTGCTATTTCACCTGTTAGTAGTTATACTTTTAATAGATGTATATCAAAAAGGAAACGTAAAAGAATAAATAGATCACCTTCTCCTGTATCACATAAAACTTATTTACGTACTGGTCTTACAGGTGAAATTGAAGTACTTAAAATAGATTCAGCAAGTCCTTTGAAAGGGGGCGTTACTTTCAGTACACCAGTATCAGCTCAAAAGCCAACTAAAGTTAAAACTACTCGTTTTGAATTGCCAAATGAACAATATGCACAAAATAAGTGTTGTCCTTCAAATAATATAAACTATAATAGTCCTGATATTGATCTTAAGACACCAAGAACTCCATTCAGGACCCCGAAATCAGTACGCAGGGGAAACTGGAGCTCCGACCAAAGAATTTTAGGTACCCCTGATTATTTAGCGCCGGAGTTGTTATTAAAAAGAGGTCATGATTGTGCAGTGGATTGGTGGGCTTTAGGTGTTTGTTTTTATGAATTTGTTACTGGTATTCCTCCATTTAATGACGAAACACCACAAAAAGTATTTAGTAATATACTTAATAGAAATATAGAATGGCCAACAGGAGATGAAGCCCTTTCTCAAAATGTCGTATTAGCAATTGAGCAGTTGTTGACTTCTGATCCTAAAAAACGACCAACAGCTCAAGAAGTTATGAAAATGTCCATTTTTAATAATGTGGATTGGAGTAATTTACTTTCAATTAAGCCACCTTTTATACCTGATCCATATGATATTACAGATACTGGTTACTTTCAAGCAAGAAATGAATTATTAAATTTTGATATTTCTAATTTTGACTTGTAATTGTAAAAAAGTTATCATAATACTGAGAATGATATGCATTGTAATATTCCACTTTTTAGAGAAAAACAGGTATAATGTACAATAAGACAATAAAGTACCTACTTTCTTTTATCAAAAACCACTAATACATTTGTCAATTTAAATTGTAAATTCTACTTTCTTGAAATATAATTTATAAAATACGTGGCATTATTCGTTTTTCTTTGTGTTCATAAGAAACATACAATTTCAACAAGTTGTACGCAAAAATGGGATCATATTATTAGTAAAAACTTTGTTAAAATGTCTCGATTAGTGATTTCGTTTGTTATGCTGAAAAAGAATACATGTTGGGCGTGGAAACCATTTCTTCACATAATTTTCAAGCTTCCGAAAATTAAAATCAGTACGTTACTCAATTGCAACCTAATCTTAATTTTGTTTGTAGGTGTACAAAAATGACGAGGCAACGGTAGCCTCACCTCAGGGCAATGACGTTCTAATAACCTAAACCTAACCACCCTTACACAGAACAGATAGCCGTGGGTAGACTGTCTTGACACAACCTAATCTACTTCCAAAAAAACCTTATGATCCCAAGATACAAATAAAAGTATTATGTAGAGTTAGGCCAGTGTTGCCAGACAGATTTTATAAAAAACTGTAGGTGGCAGCTCCAAAAAGCAGGAGGCGTAAGAACAAAAGCGGGAGATCCAAACTATTACCATTTGAAAGTATGGTTAATTATAAAATTCAATAAGAATTCATACAAAACATAAAAATGAAGTTCAATTATTAATAAATAATGATTAAATAAAAAGTATCTTGTCTAAAATTATTTATTAAATTATTTAATTAATTAAGACAAGAAAAGAAATTTCAGTTCAGCTTCTTGTTTGAATGAAT